TTTTCAAATGGTGCTATTATTTTAATTAATCAAGTAAAATCAGTTTCTAATTTAACTATGAAACTGTCATTTGGCTGTAAGAATAGCTATAATGCTAGTTTTAAACGTGCACTCTCAAAATTCTGTGGCCTAGGATTTATGTGAATGGTATCTTAATTACTGTATTCATTCTTTGTGGGGAAGATGAACTTTCATCTCTTATGGCAGTTTCTCATTGCGGCTACTGGTTACTCATAATTATGTGTACTTTTTCTTGTGGTAGAGAATAAGCAGCGTTTTCTACAGTAGTATGCGGGAAATTCCCTAATATTTTCAAAATGAGTTTGTTTATATATATTCTTAGTTCTCACAACAAATAGCTAACTGCTTTCAATAAAAACCTCAAGTTTCCTAAACTGAATTATAGTTTATTTTTAAGTTTCTTTTAAGGAACCAAGAGACAGTGGAGTGTGCTGCTAAATATTTTTGAAAATAATTTTGCACTAGGACGTCGGAGCTGGAGGTTTATCATGTTGATGGAGAATGCTAATAGTTCTGTATTTCTCATCAGTCTCGCTACATATGGGAGCTGGTGTATTTTCCATTCATTACTTACTGTTCTAGGAACATTCTCCCTGACCCATTAAATGAAGCCCTAGACAGAGTAAGTGGAAAGAACATTGTTTTATTACTGCTTTAGTGAGGCAAGTGCACACAGGTATTATTAGTTGGTCTTAAGAATGGTGCTTTTTACTTTGAGTAGAAAAGCCAAAGTAATCATTCTGTAGCTAAGGCTTTTAAGTTTAAGTGAACCTTCTTCATCCAATGTTGGTTGATCAGAACTGGTTGCCTTGGCTTTCCATAACCTCTATTTTTGAAAAAGAAAGTGGGGAGGAAAAACCAATGTCTTGGAACTTGCTTTGATGTTCAAAATGGCGAGTTAAATCCTTACCAAATGTGGTTTTTTGTGTTACATAGCAAAGTACAGGATTAGAGGGATAATGTTAACGCTTAATGCGGGATCAGAAAGCTGCCTTTGTGCGGATGCCACCGACTTAGCAAAAATAGAATCTTTCCTTTCTTCTGATCAAGAATAATTTTGAACACTTTTTGAAGTTGCAGGAGAGGTAGCTTTAATTTCTGTAGCAGACTGATTTTATGAGTCATCTGAGTTGACCGAAAGATAACCTAGTCAGCTGGCCTACAAGTCTACTGAAGGGTTACGTATTTTTAAATAATGTAACATTTTATAATTGGGCAACACTGGTCCTTTCTTTCTGCAGTCTGAGGGATGGGGATTGAGGCATTTCGGTGTAACTTAACTTCTGGTTCTGGGAGGTGGAGCAGCAACGTAATTCTCCTAGCCCCGTAGCTGGGGTGGTAGCTTCAGCAACCATCCCTTTGGCCTTCGTGTGAAAAGCAGGCAAAACCGTGCTGGCAAATCCCCTTGAAGATCCAGACCACTGTTCTGACCCCCTCCGTGTACTTACAGACCTTCAGGGACACTCTCAGGACGCTCAGTTTTAAGAAAAGGTGTGAAAGGGAGGGAATACATACCTAGGTGCTAAATCTGACAGGCAAAAAAGAAAAGGGAAATCTCAAAGCAAATACAGGCTATTAAATTGGATCCATCAACATATATTTCTGAGCACCTATTGTGTCCCCTGCATATGTGTAACCAGACGTATAAAAGAATGGATAATAGAGTGTTTCTTACTCATTATACTTGCCTAATGAAATTTAATATTGAATTTAGAAGAAGAAATGCTCATCATCCTGTAAAAGTGATTCACTTTGTTATGAAGCAGAAACTAACACACCATTGTAAAGCAATTATACCCCAATAAAGATGTTAAAAAAAAAAAAGTCAACATGTAGGATTTCAAGCCTACCAAATAATTAAATGGGAAGTGAATTCATTTTGTGCATCTTGACTCTTTAAGGTATTATGTGTGAAGCACACAGTGTCTGGCACAGAGTAAAACCGTAGTAAATGGCCAAGTTAACTATTGTGTATGTTGATTTACGAATGTTTCTGCTCTCCAATCCCCTGTAGATGTAATGGCTAATAGTAAACTGTAGAATGACATATAACTCCACTGGTCATTCTAAATGCCTGACAAGGAAAAGAGCGAGCCAGACAAAATCCTTGTTCCAGCACAGAAAGTCAGGCGAATCCACAAACCTGGGGACTCTCCTCTTGCCAGAGTAGATCTTAGAAGTAGCCAGGAGTGGAGGCAGGAACCATGAAAAACAAGCTTTTCTGCCAGCAGTCGGAGAACTTCTAGGCATCAGCTCCAAGATCCAACGTGCTAAGTAAGAACCACTCCTCTTCTTAGTCGTGTTTTCACCTGAAGCGTGTGACTCAGCACTGTTTAATTTTCCATAGAGATGTATATCTAATTTTATACCTATAACCTACAGTATGATAGACTTTACTTTGCATAAACCTTGCCTTAAATTAACGTTACTGGAATGCATTTATTCTGTGAAGTAGAACGTAGCTTATTGGAAAATGCACCTCTCCCCCATGTGTAGAATTTCGTGGAGTGAGGACTTTGAAATGCTTTCACAGAGAGAAAAACTGTTCCAGTGGCCTTCAGAATCGCATGTTATAAAACTGTCATCAGGAGAGGTTAGGAAATGACCCTTCCCCACCACTGGCCTCTGGGCCACACGCTGCCCCTCTGGCTGACTCAGGCCCCCGGCAGGCCCCTTCAGAGTGCTGGGTGGGGTGAGGTTGGCCTCGCTGGCAGAAAATGTTAAAGCCCTGTTTGTGGCGGCTGCTATCGTCCATGCTTCTGTGCCTCAACCCACTCTCCTTCTGTCTTCTCTCCCCTCACCTATCGTTTGGGTCAGAACCAACCTCCAGAGACTCGTTTTTCATCCTTAGCGCCCAAGGTCTCTTCTGTGGTCATCCGTCCTCAGATACTTTTCCCCTAATACAGTGCTTTTCAAATGTCTTTTAGACACAAAAACCCTTTTTTCAAACAGAAACATACAGTGAAGCCCAGTATTGAGAACAGATAAGGATGGAGCTGCTCCCGGTGAACTGGGATGGGATCTGGAGCCCTGCCGCCGGTTCTCACCCACCTCCCACACGGCTGCCCCTAAGAGCCCAGCGGAACCCCCAGAGTCCAGGGAGCCCGGTTTAAACCCACTCACAGAGATGCAGCCAGTTTTATCAGAATCCACAGAGAAGTAGCTCAGCTTGTGGAGTTTCAGCTCACTTCATAAGCACCTGCAGTGTGCGCCGCCCTCTCACCAGGACCATCAGCCACAGGGTAGTTATGGAAACGAAGGTCTGTCGTGCTGGACAGAACAAGCCTTCAGAGGCAAAGCAGGGTCCTTCCTTTTCCCGATGCTGAACTGTCCAAACCCCCCTCGAGTCCAAGCCTTACTAGATGGGTCACCGCTGAGGCTGAGGTCCTGAAAAGCTGTGCTTATGGTGGGCTGTCCCACCCCAAAGGGTAGGAGCAGAGAAAGGATGAAAGTCTTGGGGGAGCAAGGGAAACCCAGTCATCAAGGCCCAGACATCAAAGCCAAGTGAGAGAGGAGTCAGGACCCAGGGCGTTTCCCAGGACAGGGCCCACGCATCTGCCTCTGTCATCGACCATCCCTCCACGGTGTGAGTGGGTCAGGGCAGGTGTGCGGGGAATGGACGGTCCTCTCGGTTCACGGAGTATTGTTGTACTGTCTTCAGTTCTAGCCCTTTGCTTGAACCCCTCCTCCCTCCATAAAGAAAGAAAGCTCCTGTCAGCTCTCTCCCGCCTCCCTCCTTCGTAAGGGGCCCTGCGATTTTAGGCCCCGAGAAGGCTGCTGCTCAGGCAGTTTACAGGCTGGCTCCTTGGTCACCAGAGCCAGAGCAGCAGTTTTCAGCCTTGTCTCTGGCCCAGCACTCTAGATCAGTCATGTTCACAAGCCTCACGTGCTTCCATGGACACGGGCAGGTTTTGCCAACTCCTTCCCCTCCACAGGCCTCGAGCGTTTCTGTGTGTTGATAGTTCTAAAATCACTATACTGACTGATGCAACTTGCCAGGGATACATCAGGAGTGTAGCGCTCTGAAGATCCAGCTGTACCGTCTCTCCTCCTCCACCCCATCCCCTCTTACTTAGGAAAATGCATCAATGTGAAAATGACATTAGAGTAGGTATAATCCTGAATTTGCTCTAATTTCTAAAAGAGTAACTATTAGGAAATATGTGCTTTATAACAATAATTTAACCCTCTTATGGTTGACACAGAAACGAGGACCCTCTAATATGCTTATAATTCAAATAACACTCTAATAAGCTACATTTAAGGTCTGGTTGTCCTAGCAATATTGATACGAATTACAATATTGGGAGCTTTTAATTTACTGTTAGTCTTGCCTGTATCCAAAAAGGAATGGTAGTAACTTGCACAGGCTGATAAAACTCTTAACGTGGAAATAGAAATGTTTAAACCTTATCTAAATATGGGAGAGAAGACAAATGTTAACCACCCTTTGTGCAAGTTACTTCAAGTATAATATTTAAGCATGAGCTTCCCGGTAGCAAAAGTAAGAAAAGGAAGTGTGATGAAGAGAAAGTGTCCTTCTTTTGAGAAAGAGAAGTTCTTTTCAAGTACTAAATTTTAAAAATGGTTTGTCACACACAACACTGAATGTAAGGGATGATACAGTGAACCACATTTTTACAGCCATCACAGATGCATCATATTTATGACCCTTGATTGGATTGTGCCCCTCCCCCTCACAGGGTAACTCTAATTTGCTTTGCAAAACCATAGTCGTCTTGCCTGATAGATACATAGGCTCCAAAACTTAAGATAAGGACGACTTGGTAATATACTGCCAGAAGCTTACATACGTTCAGTCAACATTTATTAGAGGTCCATCCCCAGCCTGGTTGTAAATTCAGGCCATAGATTAGGTTTGGAACAGACCCGAATTCCAATCAATTAAAGCTAATATGTTTATTTCATTACTAAAACTGCAGGACTTCTAATCTGATATTTAAAATCTCCTTCTTTAGGAGTTCTTTGGAATTTATCCTCATGTGATGCCGTAAAGATGGCAATCATCCGCGATGCTCTCTCAACCCTGACAAACACTGTGATCGTTCCACATTCTGGATGGAATAACTCTTCTTTTGATGACGATCATAAAATTAAATTTCAGACTTCACTTGTTCTGCGTAATACGACAGGTTGCCTGAGGTAACTTTTTGTTTCTTCTTTACGATTAAGTCTGTGATGAAATAATATGTGTCATAGCTAAGGTGACTTCAGGATGATTTAATATTTCATTTCTATTAATATCTCTCTAAGTTTCCAAGTTTTTTTTTTTAATTTAGACCACTGGGCTTTGTTATCCTATGAGGAAAACATTGTGAGCACAGAGCAGTGGCCCGAGAGACATTATCTTATAAACGACTCTTCTATAGGTCAGTCAAAAAAGCCCTTTCAGTCTGAAATTACTGTCAAAATTCCAGTGTTTTCCACTCGAGCAGCATTTTCCTGGTTGTCACATTCTGATTGCTAATGTGTTGGCAGCCTGGTGTTTGTTTAAATTCAAAATGTGGAAGTGCAAACTTCATGTTATAAAGTAACTCAGTCACGGGGATGTAATGTGCAGCAAGGTGACTGTAGTCACTAATGTTGTGCTGTAAAGTTGAAAGAGGCTAAGAAAGTTCTCATCACAAGAAAAAGACACTTGGTAACTTTGTGTGGTGACAGACGGTAACTAGACTTATTGTGGTGATCATTTCACAATGTATACAAATGTCAAATTATTGTTTTGTACACCTGAAGCTAATATAATGTCTGTTAATTAGACTTCAGTCTTTTTAAATGTAATGGTTAAAACTTTTTTGCTTTTAAAAGGGTGCAAAAAGGTGCGGTTTAAGCAATCATTGGGTTTAGAGTTTTATAAATAAATGAAAATGAGCCCAAATACTCTTTTCAGTCATTATCTTTAGCATTTAAAATCCATAAAGCCTCCTTTAACTGTACACGGTGCTGCTCATTATTTGCCATTAACTCTCATCAGCTCAGTTTCCACCCAGCTTCCCAGGCTTGCTGGGAACCTGAAACAGTAACCTTGGGGCAGAGTGGCCTGGTGACGACAAGAGTGGGCTCTGGCTTTAGACAGACTGACTTCCTGTCCCATTCTGAGCCTCAGTTTCCTCATCTTTACAATAGGGGTAATAGTAACATCTCAGAGTTGTGAAGACTCAGCTTGTATAAAATGCTTCGTGTAGTGTCTCACACACAGTGAGCGCTATTTACCGTTTAGGCTAAGATGTCTGAGCATCTCTACACCAGAGCTCGAGAGCGGGGCGGGGGGTGGGGGTGGGGGTGGGGGTGGGGCGGGGGTGAGGGAGGGAGGGGCCTGGGCTTCTGCTCTGAAGCCTTCCGCTATTGTGATGGGTAACTGGGGCAGGGGAGGGGGCAACAAGAATCAGGCTCCTAGAAGGCAGGCCAGTTCCCTGACTCAGATTCCTGCATCACCGAACGGGTCACATGGCCTCTACTGCTGATCTGTGGGGCAGCATCTCATCTCCCTGTACCTGGCTCAGGGGAGGCCGTGAGCCCTCAGCTAGCCTGCCAGGCTTCAGGGGAGGCCCAGGGACAGGACGCATGCTCAGGCTCCCCCAGTGGTTCAAGGCTATTAACAGTTAGTTGGTGAATGCCTTCTGTGTAAATTCAGTGATGGACAAAACAGAGTAGGTCGTGGCTCGGATAGAACCAAGCTCTATTGATGAAGACAGGTAAATAAATGAACAAGAAAATAACAACAGATGCCATTTAAAAAATAGGGTGATGTAAGAGTTACTAGGTGGTCACTTTGATGGTCAGGCGGTCCCTCACAGGAGGTGAAGTTTAAGCCTAGTCGGAAATGCCACAGGAGCTGCTCCTGTGAGGGCGGGGGTGGGGGAGGGGAGGAGGACGCACTCGAGACAAAGGGAACGGGGAGTGTACAGGCTCTGGGGCAGGAAGGGGCTTGAGGCTGGAGCTTAATGGGCAAGGTGCAACGTGAAACCAGTTACGTTGGGATGTTTTAGATCAGAGCAAGGAGTGCACCACATGCCAAGTGTCATGGGGAACCATCAGAGGGTCTACTCACAAGAGTAGGGACGGTTTCTGGCTGTGATGGGGGCGACAGTGGGGGCAGGAAGGCAGATGAGGGTGACAAAGGCCAGGCACCAGAGAGAGGTCGGCAGAGCGGAGTACGTTGTGGAGGGAGAGGCTGACAAGGTTTGCTCATGGACTGAATATGAGTGGCGAGGAAAAGGGAGGAAGTAAGGACAGCGCCTAGACCTCTGGCTAGATCAGCTGGGAGCACGGAAGTGCTGTTGATGAGGTCGAGCAGAGGGGTGGAGGAAGGGTGGAGAGACGAGCAGCTGAGGGTTTTGTCTGGTCCACTTTGAGATGCCTGATTAGCTATCCATGTGGATAAATGTAATGTCTGGATAAATGAGTCTGGAGTTCTAGAGAGGGGTTGGGCTAAAGATAAAAACTGGGGAGTCATGGGTCTATAGGTTGTTTTAAATCCAAGGAGCAGAAGGAGGCCACCCAGGAGAGCACCAAGATAAAGATAGGAAGCGACCAAAGTAGCCCTGGGCACTCCAGAGGGGACCCACAGGCAGAAGAGGCTGAGAAGGGAAGACAGCAAGATGAGAGGAAAAGCAGAGGGGTACCGGATCCCTGTTAGAGGAACAGAAGAGGTCACCTGTTGAGAGCTACTGAGAGGTAACCCTGGATAAGAACAGTAGAGGGACTTGAGCTATGGAACGCTCTGTTGTCATTCAGTCATAAATAATTTGTATTTTCTACTTTTATTTTCTCTTAAACCATTGTAGCAGGAAGCCTCTAAGATGGACACAAAAACTCTTGCCTGCTAGTGTTATGCCCATGTGTATTCCCCTTTCGTTGGGTGAAATCCTTCAAATAAATAGTAGTTCTGAAGTTCTAGATGCCGCTTCTGAGATTATGTTACAAAGAGACTGGCCTATGTGTTGCTCACTCTTTCTCTTGTTGCCTCATTCTGAGCGAAAGCTAGCTGCCATGGTGTGAGCTTCCCCAGGTAGAAACCCCCATGGCAGTAACTGACGTCTGGCAAACAGTGAGAAGCTGCGGATTGCCATAGTCACGTGAATGGACTTGAAAGTGGATTCCCTGAGGACTGGGAACGACCACTTGTGTGAACTTGGAAGTAGATCCTTCCTAAGTTGAGCCTTCAGATAACTATAACCCCAGATAATAGCTTGATTGTAGCCTTATGGGAGACTCCAACCCAGAGGCACCTAGCTAAGAAGCACCTGAATGCTGGACCCAGAGAAACCATAATACAACAAGTATTTATTTTTTGAGCTGTTAAATATTGGGGTAATTTGTTATACAGCAATATATAGCTAATAGAATCATGGATTAAAGAAAAGTATGTATTCTAATATCTCAAATAAGTGGGGCAGATGAATTTATGTGATTTCTAATTTTATTTAATTTTAGTTAGGGAATATATTTTGTGTAATATTGATTGAAGATTCTTTTATGTTCTAGTAGCCAGTCAGTATTGATATAGGTTTGATAATATTTAATATGGAATTGAAGATAATAAGTGTTTTCTCTTTGTATGGGACAGATATGCAGCTTATTATTTTGTTTATTCCCATGGTTGATATTCAGCTGATTCAGACTTTGTACTTCAAACTGATTGTTCAAGTCTAACATCTCTTCTACTTCGTTGACACCTTCATATGATGAATCAGTGCCTTTGTTACTTTGGCTATTAAATATTTTTTAGTAACAAACAAACATACAAAAAGAACAGTAGAGGGATCATGTGTGATAGTATCTCTGGCCTCAGAAAAACAAAGGCGAAAAGAAAAGTCATTCCCGATCCCCCTTACCTAGTCTAAGTTTTACAAAATCTCAGAGTTAGCCTAGAACCCTTGTTAATGGCACATAAAATAGAGCCTTATAATTTGGTATCAATTCACGAAGTTGAACTGATAGCACAAATTTCCATATGGATGAGACCTAAAACAATTTTCAGGTTTTTTAATAATTAAAAAGATGAGAAAAATTGTGGCATGAGCAAGTGTTCCTATTTAACTTGAAATGTTTATACAAGAAATATGTTTCCTCTGTTCATTCAAGAAGCATTTATGACCACCTACTACATGCAAAACATTTTAATAGGTGCCGGGACTGCAAAGACCTTATGACCTAACAAGGGAGGTAAAGGATGTCTGAAAACAGCAACCGTGCATGGCTAGCAAACATCCTTTTACATGGTGGGCACTTCCTAATTGCTTCCTATGTAGCAGCTCATCTCTTCCTTACAGCAACCTTACGAGGTAGTTACTATTATTCCCCCTTATGTATGAGGAAACTGAAGATGAGCCCCAAAATAATTATTTTAGGAGGTTAGAAGGTGGCCCGTCACAGGAGAGATACAAAGTTCAAGTGCCACTGCTCCCTTCTGTTTGTGTGGCTAATGGGGGGCTGGCTATTACTGTGAGCTCCCTCGAGATTAAAATGCAGCCTCCAAATGCCTCTTCAGACCAGATCTACTTGCTGCTGTGTCACCCGTTCTCAGATCATTAAGGTAAGGCTCCACGGCTAACGAGCTCCCCCGTGCCTCTGCCTGTTTAGGAATCTCAGCTCCGCGGGGGAGGAGGCGCGAAGGCAGATGCGATCCTGTGAGGGGCTGGTGGACTCTCTGCTGTACGTGATCCATACGTGTGTGAACACATCTGACTACGACAGCAAGGTCAGTGAACGCCGCAGTGGCAGAGGACAGCAGCTGCCGACCGCCGCTGTCCACGTGCCACTGACTCTTTCTGGAATTCTTGACCATCTGCTCCTTGTTAGGCTACGCTCCAGATTAAAGGGAGACTGTCTCAAAGTAAATAAATAAATAAAGGGAGACTGTCTCTAAAAATTACAAGTTAACAGGGACATGAGAACTTAAGAAAATAGCCTTAGAACCATGAAAACTGAGTGACTCCATGTGGCGAAGGATCGACCAGGGTCCAGACCTTCTCTGTGGTTTCTCCTGGGCTCATCGTCAAGGCGATGGCCCCACTGCTCTTTCCTCCAGTTCCGTATCCCCTGTTGCTACAGTCAAATCCATCTGGATCTAGGTATCTACTGAATAAAAGTTCCTGGTCCAGGTACTGGAATCTCCCCAACCTCTCTTCCCTTCTTGCCTCGGTGCCAACTCTGGATGCCCCTTTCTACGTGCGGTTGCAGTCTTTCACCCACTCCGTCTGTTACCAGCATGTCCCTCTTACCCTCCCCTCCTATTTCCTCCATCCCGGCCCTCTCACAAGGAATTCTGCTCATCATTTTTCAGCTGTGATGCCATCCAGGGTCTGCCCCAGCATCAGGGGCCAGGGAAGGTGGGGAGAAACAGGAAGGAGGGACTAAAAGTGTCAGGAGTCCCAAGGCAGGCAGGGCGCTTGTTGTTCAGGATGGGCTGGACGAAGAGGGGCCACAAACAGGCCTGGGGTCGTAAACAGGGGTCTAAGAGGAAAAAGAAGACTGAGTGGTAGGATTGCGGGGGAGCTAGAGGAGAAATTCAAAGTGACAGCCAAGTTTTTATTTGAGCTCCAACTGAACCAAAAGATCTGCAGATGAAATTGAGAGGAATAAGCAAGTTAGAAGGGGAGCTCGCTAGGCAAAACTGAACTTGGTTCTAGACACACTTGGTTGAAGTGAGTTGGCCTCCCAATTAGAGGCGTGATACAGACTTTGAGGAACAAAAGACCATGTACAGAAGGCAAAACGTCAGCAGAGAAAGAGATCAGATCGTGGAACTTTCCACAGAGGGAGGGGGGAGGGGGAAATGGAAGGAGACGACAAAGATGGCACTTGCGGGGAGGGGCTGTGTCCGGGGTGGAGGCTGGTCGCACCCGCTGTCACGATGAGGATTCCCAGTGGTGAGAAGGGGGGGACTCTGGTAACTTGGGCGCATCTCTGCCACTGCGGCAGCCCTGAAGCACAACCCTGGGCATTTTCTTCTCCAGAGCCTTGCACAGTTCCCTCAGCAGGCAGTCAGATCGTCAGCTGCACTGCGGATGGCTCTGCACTCTGTCATTGGGTGTCCCGCCAACAGTCTGGAATCACGGTTCTGACCTTAGACCGTTGCAGTTCCCATAAAGGGAAAAGCAGTTCTTTCACGTTCTACACTTCTTTACTATCACTGGTGCTCAGTACAGAAACGCTTTGCACTAATGTGCCACGGTGGTTTTAATCCTACACTGTGTTGGGTTTCAGACCGTGGAGAACTGCGTGTGCACACTGAGGAACCTGTCATATCGGCTGGAGCTGGAGGTGCCCCAGGCCCGGCCGCTGGGGCTGAACGAATTGGATGACCTACTCGGAAAAGAGTCTCCCAGCAAAGACTTGGAGCCAAGCTGCTGGGGGAAGAAGAAGAAGAAGAAAAAGAGAACACCACAAGAGGATCAAGTTAGCATTTTACTTGACATGAAACTCTAAAGTTTCGTTTCCTCTGGGAGTGAGAAATCACATATTTGGCAAGAAAAAATTTTTTTCTCATGATGCAGTTTTTCTGCTTAGCTCTAGCTGAGTCTAGCAGAAAGGAACGTTTTCAGGTGTTGGATACTGTGTTCACATATTTGCTTCCACTAATGCGTGCTCTTTGTCTTTCAGTGGGATGGAGTTGGTCCTATCCCAGGACTGTCGAAGTCCCCCAAAGGGGTTGAGATGCTGTGGCATCCGTCAGTGGTAAAACCATATCTGAATCTTCTAGCAGAAAGTTCCAACCCAGCCACCTTGGAAGGCTCTGCTGGATCTCTCCAGAACCTCTCTGCCGGAAACTGGAAGGTAGGATGCCTTCTACTTGTGCACACTTCTTGCAGTCAGATCAGCAATGATCATGGAAAGGGACACAGTTGTTTAGAGTTTGGTAAAGCGGGGGAGGAGAAAAGCAGGGAGACAGCAGTCGGCTCTGGGGATCCAAGGATGAATATGACGTAGCCCTTCCCCATGAGAAGCCGAAGGCTGGCGAGAAAAACAGACAGATGGAGCCAGTACAGTGTAGACCCCATGGGATATGTGTGCGGCGGGGTCTTGGAAGAGGACATCTAACCCAGCCTGGCAGGTGAGGGAGAGGCAAGGAAAGAGGGGAGCCAGAACATAGGGAAGGGTTCCTGGAAGGGTGGTGCTGCCCAAATGGAACCTTTAAGAATGAGTAGAATTAAGCCAGCAGAGTCGAGGTCGGGGTGTACAGGGAACCAACCAGATAAAGGGACAACAGGGGAAAGTCGTCACAGTGAGGATGCCGTGGGTGGAGGCTACAAGCCGGTTGCCGGGACGTGGAGGGTGGGACGAGGAGTGCCCCCGTGGAGCTGGGCCTCGTGACCAGGCCTGACGGCCAACTTCAGGAGCTGGGAGCCAACCTTCGGACCAGAGGGGCCGCTGAAAGGGTTTAAGCAGACCAACGACACAGGCTGATGTGGACGCTGTTGATCCCGTCTACAGCAGCGCAGAAGGCGGATTTGAAGTAGAGGAAGGTTGAGGCTGGGATTCTGCAGGGGAGTCTGGTGAGAGATGCCGAGGGCCTGAATTAGAGCTGAGGCTGGGCCGCCATTCCTGTCTCAGACACTCCCAGAACATACACATGGCAAAGTTTCCACCTCCACTAATACGTGTGTGACTTCTTTAGGAAAACTGAAGGTGATTTCTACTGTTACCACTATAAGCAAGTCCTCAAAACTTTTTAAATGTCATCTGACAACTTCCCAGACAGCCCTTGTTTGAAACATTTCAACCTCTAGAAATTCCCTAACAAGTATATTTTAGTAGAATTACGATAATGCTTGTTTTTGACTACTTCCTCCATCACCCCCTCCCCAAACGAAAACTGGCCATCGTTTTTTCCGTGAGAGTGAAAAGCATTGCTAGGCCTAGGTAAGGTTTGTTTCATGCGGCCAGATGCTCTAATGAATATATACAGATAATTACAGCCTAGCGCTAAGACACTGTGGCTGTTTTGTTATTGTTCTTGATATGTGTGTGACTGAGTCACTTTGCTGTACAGCAGAGGTTGGCACAGCACTGGAAATCAACTATAGGTGAATATAAGTGAATATAAGTGAACTATAAGTGAATAAATTTTTAAAAAAATTAAAAGTGCTGGGCTTCCCTGGTGGCACAGTGGTTGAGAGTCCGCCTGCCGATGTAGGGGTCATGGGTTCGTGCCCCGGTCAAGGAAGATCCCACATGCCATAGAGCAGCTGGGCCCGTGAGCCATGACTGCTGAGCCTGCGCGTCCGGAGCCTGTGCTCCGCAACAGTGAGAGGCCCGCGTACCGCAAAAAAAAAAAAAAAATTAAAAGTGCTAATAGCTTAGCATCTAAGTGCTGGCTCTGGAGCCAGACCCCTTGGCCTTGAATCCTCCCCCACCCCCCTTACTAGCTGGGGGCCTTAGACCTCTCTGTCCTCAGTTTCATCATCTGTAAAATGGAAATAATACCTACCTCATTTGGCGGTTTTAAGGATTAAATGAGATAAATGTGGAGGACCCAGGAGAGGGCCTAGCACATAAGTATCAAAAATATTTATGTTGGTGACTCAGTGTTCACCTCCAGCTTCTTATGACCTGAGACTCATTTGATGATAATAAGAAAAAAGACAATAATTAAAATAGATACGATTTGAGCTGTAGAATTTTATTTTCTGGGATCTTTAGTGAATAAACGTTAAATGGCAAGGTCGTTTAAAATATAAACATTATATGGAAGTGATTTCAAAAGTGTCTAAAATAGTAAATCAAAATATTGGCCCTCATTAAGAAAGCAAGATAAACATGGCCACAGATGTGATAAGTCAGAAGCTATCTGGGAGTGGTGATGGCTGTAGTGCTCTGGAAGGGAGGCGCCCAGGGCTGGGCTGAGCCAGTTGGTCTCCAAGCGAGATAGGTGTTGGTTCTGTCCTTGCAGGTTTCAGAGAGAGAAGTTGCCAAAGCTGCCCAAGTCCTTTACCTGATAGCAAGTCATGTATTCTATTTCTCTTGCAGAGATCACTTGATTTGGAAAATAGGAGTATTGACTTCATCCGAAGAAAGCTAATAGGATCTTTGAAATGCATCTTTTCCTTTTATTTGTGTTATTAGAATAATCTGTTCTGTTGGTATTAAGGAAACTGAGTAGTCAGTCACATATTTTCATGTTCAAAATAATACAAAGGGCTGGCAGATCTGTGTCCTCCTGTCTTGACCACAGCAGGAAAGTATTAGATGTTTTATGAGCAACGTTTTTCAATTATCCTAAATTTTGAAAGACAATGTCAGTGAAAACTCAAAACAAGATTAAAGACCCATTTTCAAATGTTACTTTTTTTGTTTATTTGTTTCCTCGATGACTTAGTGTTTGTTCCCAATTCATACGGTGCCCAAACTGACTCACCTTACAGACTTGCCTCTTAATCACAAAAGAAGTTCTTGACTGTGGATTAAAAAAAAATAGCAGGGCTCCCCTGGTGGCGCAGTGGTTGAGAGTCCGCCTGCCGACGCAGGGGACACGGGTTCATGCCCCGGTCCGGGAAGATCCCACATGCCGCGGAGCGGCTGGGCCCGTGAGCCATGGCCGCTGAGCCTGCGCGTCCGGAGCCTGTGCTCCACAACGGGAGAGGCCACAATAGTGAGAGGCCCGCGTACAGCAAAAAAAAAAAAAAAAAAAATAGCAGCAGCAGCTAACTAATCTTGAATGGTAAAGCATTTTGCACACAAATATACTTACTTTTTCACCAGTGTGTATGAATTACAATGCTCAGTGTTCCTGCAGAATTCCTCTTCTTCTGAGGCAAGGGATTTTTTTTCCAAGCAATTTCCTTGAAAGGTTACTAAACTGTAAATATTGTTGCAGAGAATACGGGGGAAGAAATGACTTGATGGAAACAGGTTCTTCTTTAATGTGCACTGACCAGTTACCCTCTCTGCCATCCTATTTATAGCCTCTGGACCTGGCCTGGGGCCAACTGCAGAGAAGACACGCCATCCGTCCTTAATCATGTTTATGTAGCTGAAGTAGAAAATAATCACTGCCTTCTCTTTTCTACCCAAAAATATCTGCCAGATGGTGGCTTGAGCTTTTCAGGCTTTGGGATTTCTTTTTAAATCAGTCATCCTAGCTTATCTTTCTCCCAAACTGGTTTTCTCCTGACTGGCATCACAAATTTAATCTCCCGTTGGAAAGAAAACATTTAATCTATTAGTTTATCTTTTGGAAACATCTTTTTTTAGGCAACAGTAACATCTGAGAGTTGAACTCTGTTTTATATTACTTATTACCTTGTTTTATTTCCTAGTTTGCAGCGTACATCCGAGCAGCTGTCCGCAAAGAAAAAGGGCTCCCCATCCTTGTAGAACTTCTGAGAATGGATAATGATAGAGTTGTTTCTTCTGTGGCGACTGCCTTGAGGAATATGGCCCTAGATGTCCGCAACAAGGAGCTCATAGGTATGTTCTGGTGACCAGGTGAGCTATAAAGAGAGAAACAACAGCGTTTATAAAACTCTTCTTTTGATTTATAAAAATATGACATTTAAAATGATTAGCAACTCAGTCCTAGTCCCCGGTGTCTTGGCATGTTTGATGCCCGTGTGTCTGTCCTTTCTGACCATTCCTTTTCAGCAAGAGGCAGGCTCATTCATTAAACACTGGATCAGGAAGGTAAATTTTCAGAAGAGCTAGCAATTTCAGTCATACATTATAAAACTGCTTGGTAGATTTGGTGTATCTGTTTCCCCAGAGAGTCATTTCTTGAACAACCAAAAAGGTTTAATTCTCCCTTTTCTGATTTTTGAGATGTATCTGCTAATTCTCCAACACTACCGTGTTCTAAATTAAAAAAAAGAAATCACGTGAATGTTTTATAGCTTTTCCCTCTCACATCTGTGTAAGTGCTCGCCTTAAAACAGAGGCACCGTTCCAAGGCCTGACCCCAGGGCAGGGTCAGGATGAGGATAAGGCAAGTGAGGCACACAGGGTGCAAAATTTTAGGAGGCATTCACCCTTGGGTCGGTCCATCCAGACGTCGGGTCGGCGCTTGCGTGAACTTGAGAATGAGTGCCTCTTCAAAGTTGTGCACCCAAGGCAGCTTAGCTTGCTTGCCTCCGGAGCATGGCCACATCCCAAGCAGAGTGTGGGGAAAAGAAAAGATCAGAGACCCTCCAGTGGACCTCAGGTTAAACCCTGGATGTGCTGCTCACTGGCTGTATAACCTGGAGTGTCCTGTATGGAGCCCATGTGGGCTTCATTCCTTCATCTGAATTGAAAACTCTCCCTTGGTTCCCATCTCTGAAAGGGAGCTGCCCATGCCTGCACTCGTCACCGTGGGCTTGCTGTGAAAATGCCCCTTGTAAACCCCCCAGCTCCACGCCAGTCCTACAGCCGATGACAGGTCGGGGAGAAGGAGGGAAAATTTAACAAGATCTTATGTGGATTAGTGAATATATATTGAACTCATATTAAAATACACCTGCCATGATAGAGCAAGACAAAGGTGGAGAGAGAAAAGGAACAAGGACAACAATGTTTACCTCAGAGAGTGTCTGCGAGGAGTCACCACGGCCCCTCACACAGTGCCTGGTAGACGTGCTATTTAAAATTATTGCCTGGATTAACCTGCTCTTAAAACACTGTCTCTTTGGGCCAAATTGTACCCCTCGGAGAGGAAAGGAGGCTCTTCCATGCCCTGTTCATAGCCAGCTCATGCCTGATTCCAATAGATGTGTTATAGCTCCAAGATCCCACATTTCCTTGAGAGAAATCCTTTAGGTCCCTAAAAAGATATTTTTTAAGTTAATTGTTACATCTGTATTATTTGAATTTCTTATAAGAAGCCCGTATAGTTTGGGAGTTCTTAATGCTAAAAAACAGTGTTGGCCACACACACCTTGTGTCCTGTCATTCCACAAATGGGAGGAGAGAGATGGGAGAGCAGAGGGTGCACAGCCAGCTCCATGAGTGCTAAGACCTTGGGGAAGAATGTATATTCAGGGGCATCACCTTCTCTCGGTGCATCCCTGTGTTTTCTGTGAATGTCCTCACCCCCTTTTAAACTTTCACGCGTGTTTTCTGTCTCCGCTGCTGAGCGTTATTTTACCCAGCTGGAGTACTCTTGAGCTGTTTCAGGAGTCACTTTTTCTTGTTTCCCCATGAAGATCCCTTCCTTCCTGTGTGGTCTGAGCCCCTCCCATAGTCAGTATTTGACTCTGATTTACCCAGCACTTCTGTTCCTAAGAAGCATGCCCTTCTCTGACCTCTTCACTCTCTCCTCACATCCGTCACCAGCGCTAGCCATGGACTTTCTCTCCGGAGCCGTTTCTTACGAGGAAACAAAGTTTTGTCAGTTCACAAAAGTTGCTGCATAGTCAACTGAGTTGCTGCATAGTCAACTGAGTCTGACCAAGCCAGCTGTCTGGGCTGCAGGCTCTGAAGGGACCACTAGGGTCGCTCACAGACCGAGTGACTGGCCTTCTCCCAAGCCTCCAGAGTGCAGTTTAAAATTGTGCCGTAGCAAAGTGACGAATTACATGTCGTGGACCTTTTGGTCATTCGTGAGTATTCAGAATCACCAGCGCTAGCTTATCATCTGTTCTTAAAAACCACATTTATCTTCTGGCTTACCGTGTCATCACTGCTTTTCCACTCTTCCCAACAATGTTCTCTGTGAGTTATGCCCGCGTCTTCACTTTGACGTGCTGTAAATTATGCGGCGTGTACTCAGGCCCAGTCTTCTTCTGCTTGCCATTGTATATAAATAGGTCTTCAATAAAAACCCCATTTAGCATCCACTCAGTTATTAGCATAGGGAGAAAAGCTAAGAAAATATTTACTTGAGCTTTAGTTAATTTCTTTTGTCTGCAGTACAGTTATTCCAGTTTGTCAGTCAGTAATTGAAATGGAAAAAGCTTGAGATAATCTCTTTTTGGAGAAGAGTAAGGGGAATTGAGGATCTGTACGGAAATGCCTCAGTAGTGAAGGGACACCCCAGCCTGGTCCTGTTGGGAACTTTATTATTGCACTACTTCTGGGACGTAACATACCCTTAATCTTCATACCAGAATTATACTTCTGTCTTCTTTAAAAGAAACGAGCATGTTGTTACTGATGTCAGACCAACTGATATAAACCCTCAACTTGATAAAAATGTGGGATGAATTGGGAGATTGGGATTGACATATATATATATATATATATATATATATATATATACCAATATGTATAAAATAGATTACTAATAAGAACCTGCTGTATAAAAAAATAAGATAAAATTCAAACATTTTGAAAAAAAAAAAGTGTAAATGTACCCAGTTCACAGGTTGAGATGTAGAAAGATTTAATGAATTGTTTGGCAGCCTTACTTGGTCCAGCTTAAAATTTATTCAAAGAAAAGTTTTTAAAAGCTTTAAGAGGAAGTTGTATTTCCTATATGATGCATAGGAACTGAATGGAGAGTAAAATTTACTATCATAATTCCTTTATTCTTGCTGTTAATGAAAATACTGGAACTAAAGCAACTTGTTTGTTATACCCAGTTTTATACCCTGATTTACATTTTCTTTCAGCAATTTGCAGTAAGGTTTTATAAACCAATCATTTCCTCGAGCGGCATGGCCATAGATGTTAACCTGCCCCGTACAGTTAAAATGTTTGTTATTTCTTCTTTACCGTGGATTTTTTCTCTCCGGTTATTGTCTCTTTTGAGGTTTTGTTTTCAAGAGACTGCACAGTCACAATCTTTCAATGACAACAATAACAAAAACCAGGTCCCTTCCAAAAGTGGAATGAGCTCTCTTTTGCCTCGGGCAGGTAAATACGCCATGCGAGACCTGGTCAACAGGCTCCCAGGTGGCACCAGCCCCAGCGTGCTGTCAGATGAGACCGTGGCAGCCATCTGCTGCGCCCTGCACGAGGTCACCAGCAAGAACATGGAGAATGCCAAGGCCCTGGCTGACTCGGGGGGCATAGAAAAGCTGGTGAACATAACCAAGGGCAGAGGAGACAGGCAAGTCTGCTGCAAGGAGACGCCAGCGCCTGGCCCTCATTCCTGTGACAAGGGCCTTGGTCGAGGATAACGCTGCTTATTGGGAAGGATTTATTTGTGCACTTCTCACGTGCCAATAAGCTAAGTGGTTTCCAGCAGTTAAAACCTGTTTTTTGCTGGGAGAGGTATCTGTGGTCATGTGGCCCCTTTTCTGCTCTTTATTTTCTTGGAGCATCCCTCACCCCTACCGTCATTCCTGTCCCTAAAGCCACATTTGGCCGTTTTGACTCCTGGAAGAATCAGACATTTCATGAGGAAGAAAACCTGGGGCCCCATCTCCCTTGGACCTTTGGCTCTGCTCCAGGCTCCAGGGCCTGTTCTGCAAGAATATCTTCTTAAATCCTCAGTTCTGGGATTATTTCACCTAAAAAATATTTCACCTAAAATCACCACATGCAGCAGAGCCAGAGCCTGTTGTGCGGCCTCAGGATGTGCCCTGGGCTTGGATCATACCTCTCTTGTGGGTGACACCCCAGTGATGAAGCAGCAGAAGTAGGGATTAGAGGATTGGTGGCAAAAATTGAAGGTTTCTTGTCACGGAGCTATAGCACTGACTGTGAATTTGCCTTAGTATCAGATCAGAGAATCCTTCAAGGAAGCTGGAAGTGTAGGGCTGCTTGTCCCATTCTCGACGCAACAGGACGGTAGCCTCCCGATCAGTCGTAAAATGGCCCACCCGTCTCCCCACTCTCCTCCTGCACACGGCAGTGGCTTCCCCGGGGTTACTTACGACCCCCTCTGGCATCTGACAGCCCCCCCGGAGCGGGTGCCTTGTCTTTTCGTTCACTGCTGCATCCTCGGTATCTAGAACAAAGACTGGCCCATAGTAGTAAACATTTATTAATTGGCTGAGTGTCAGTACTAGACTCATTATATATTTATTTATATTTACGTAACAAGCAAGGAAGAAAATACACATAGTTTTTTTTTTTTTGCGGTACGCGGGCCTCTCACCGCTGTGGCCCCTCCCGCTGCGGAGCACAGGCTCCGGACGCGCAGGCTCAGCGGCCATGGCTCACGGGCCCAGCCGCTCCGCGGCATGTGGGATCTTCCCGGACCGGGGCACGAACCCGTGTCCCCTGCATCGGCAGGCGGACTCTCAACCACTGCGCCACCAGGGAAGCCCCTGTGTATACTTTTGAAGAATAATGTAGCAAATCATATTCTCACCCCGCAGAAACCACAGCTACCAACATTATTCATATTTCCTTTCAGTCCTTTTCTGTTAGGTATCGTTTTTTATCTCATTAGTAATAAGTACAAACACACTCATTTTTATTTCAAAGGAAACGAAACATTACAGATAAAGCTAAGGCCCTGTTCCACTAACTCCCCCTCCAGCTCCCTTCCCCTCTCCTGTAAGAGTAACCGAAATCACATTTAGTGCTCCCAAAATTTTGTGAGATAGGCTTTATTCGTGAAAGGCATAAGAACAGGCTGGAGAAATGCTGAACCAGTGCCAAAATCTTTGTATATTGAAAAAAAAAAGTCTAATTTTTTTTTTTTTCAAAACAAGAGATTCAGAAAACCTGGATCAAATCAGGCTGTCTTCTGAATATACACTTATTTTCCTTTTGATTCACTCACCAAGCTTCTATCTCTTGCCCACCTGCCACTGCTACAGCAGTGAGCAGTTCACATCTGCCCGCAGATAGCTTACATTCCATGGGTGGAACAGACAAGGTACCAGTGGAATGAGCAGCGCCTGTGGATGGTGCTGAGTGAAGGGCAAATAATAAAATCGGGGACAGTGATAGGGCATGCCAGGGTGAGGAGGGGTTGTCACAATTTCAGACACACTGGTCGGGAAGGCCTCAGGGAGAGGGGAGGTAATAACTGACCTTATTTTCCAAATCAAACACTAGAGCACACAGACACATCTGTTTACAAAGAGGCACAAATGACAAGAAGGCAGTGAACATGTTTTATATGAAGGCCTAATAATGGGGGTGGGGGGGTAACTTAAGTTAACTTGGGAGGGTCCTCAGACACTTGAGATGTGTGATCATGGTCAGAAGTCGTGGGCTCATCCCGACCACAGCTTCTGACCACAGAGCCAAGTGCCTGTGAGCCTCTCTTTGGTCCTTGCCACCTCTGGCCGGCCCTGAACTTGACTGACTCCCAGGTACACCTGATTCCTTGGTGGTGGTTTCTAGCAGCAGCCTCCTTGCCCCCTGGTCCTTGGAGTGATGGCCTCTTGGCCATTGCTTTGCTGCCAGAGTCTCTTCAAGTGGAGCCGCCCACATTCATTAACATCCCCACTCTCTCCCTAGATCATCTCTGAAAGTGGTGAAGGCAGCAGCCCAGGTCTTGAATACATTATGGCAATATCGGGACCTCCGGAGCATCTATAAAAAGGTAACTTACAAGAATAGCTCTGGCATAATTAGCATTCAGCATTCATGAGAGCACACGCTCGTAATCATTTATTGTAATGAAATGTCATTACCCACTTTGAGAGGTTTCTTTTCCTCTTTTAACTCCACAGGATGGGTGGAATCAGAACCATTTTATTACACCTGTGTCAACATTAGAGCGAGACCGATTCAAATCACATCCTTCGTTGTCTACCACCAACCAACAGATGTCACCTGTCATTCAGTCAGGTCAGTGGGTAAACTCCCCTTCTTGGTGAGAGCATTTGTGTGACAGAACATTGTTTCCCATCCGGAGATCGAACGTACACTGATTAAGCCTGTCACCTCGAAACACTGAGGAAAGGAGAGTTTGCTCTTCAGGCTGAAAGCCTCCTTTGGGAATTACATGGTATTGTATACAGCAGACCCACTCTCCTCCTTCCACTTTAAAAGTTTATGTAAGTTTACACCAACTATGGCGCATAAAAGTATCCCGGGGTCCTCAATAGCATCTGTTCCCCCTAAGATTCTGCTTCACTAGCTTTGCGAAGGGGCCTGGGAACCTGCATTTAATAAGCTGGCCCAGTGATGCGGATACAGGAGAGTGGACGAACACACTCTGAGAACCACTAGGTTGTGCCTGAAAATGGCTGCCCTTGCCTGCCTGCAGGCCATAAATCTGAAATCTCTTCAAAGTGATTTTTTCGTTTTCTTGGTGAAAACTCTTAGAAAGAATCCCTTAGACGTGAGCTTTAGACCCATAGCCTGGGAGAGCCGTGATCTCCACCTGTGCCTTACTCCTCAGCAGTTAAATCTTCATCCCCTGGCTGCCTTCCAGACCCCCAGCATCCATGGCTAATGGGAACGGGCCCTGCAGGTGGCTTTACAGGAATTCCCTTTGATTTGTAAGTTGGGAATCTTGACAACCATATTACCTACATATTGGTGGTGTTTAATTTGGTAGAAAGAATGTATTGAGGCTCAGACTGGGTTTTGTTGGGGGGGGGTTGTTTTTGGGGGGGGGGGGGTTTGCATGTAAGAACAGAATATTACTACCAAGTCGATTCAGTCCTGTAAATTTAATTCTTAACTAAATGAAACAGGAAAAGTAATAAATATCCTTTTTTATTTGGCTTTAAATCTCCCATTCTGACATATAAATATTACCTGTTGTATTCAGCTGTGCTCCTGCTGGCAGTCTTATTTCTCATGTGGACAAATGTGACCAAAAAGACTAATATATGACTGGTGGTTCTTGTCACATAATTGGATGTCTCCGCTCGTACCAGGAATTTTTAAAAATTATCTCTGCCTACTGCATATGGTGTATACTTATGTCTTAGTTTTTAAATTATGAGTTGTTTTCTTCAAAGAGACCTCTGCTTGGTTTTTGACACATCTTGCTGGGTTCCCAGGTGTAGCCTGTGGCTGTCTTGCTTTATAAAAATGCTCAGGATTCTTTAGAGACTCAGGAAGAGGGGTGCCCGGAGAAGCAAGAGAGTTTGCTGTTTAACGAAAGGCATGTGTACAGGCAAAAGAATAATTTCAGACAAATCAGGACATAGTCACTAAGCAATGAACTTGTTTTGAGGACCTCTTAAATATACACACTGGGCAGTGCTGACGGGCCCTGTCCAAGTTCCTAGGTCCCTCTCTGGCTTCCATTTGAAGGTAGGATCTGATTCACACTTGTTTCTCCATTTATTCTGAGGACTGATCATCCACCCCTCAGCCCTAGCACGGTATCTGCTTACGGGCACATCTCATATCTTGCTGATGTAATTATGGGAGGCGGGTGGCGATGGCCTCTGTCCTCCTACCTTGTAGAAAGTAGGCAGGATGAGAAGCACATAGACACTGCCCATGCATGCTCACTGTGTGTCAGTGAAGTGACTTTCTAGGGAAAATATTTTGATGTCAGTCTTCCTCTGAAAGCATCAATGCACACAAAACCGCTGGTAGCAGGGCCTGGGGCCTGCCGCTTTGAAGTGGATCCAGTGAATAAGTGACCACTCTTAATTACAAGATACTTCAGTGCAAGCAAGATGGGTTTTTCTAATGAGAAAAAGAAGATGTTTTCCTTCTGTGCAAAAATGTCCCAGCAGGACACCCATGGGTAGACATGTTATTATGAAATGTTTGGCTCCAGCTGGGATAAAAAAGCTGGGCCTTTGTGAGGCCTGGGCTTCTCAGCACCATGAGCTTGATGAGCAGGGCTTACGGAGTTTATAAATTTCCCTGACAGCTGATCACCATAAAAAGCATTATAAATTTTATGGGCTGGGCACTCTTATTCAGACACATTTAGAGATACAGATATTTCTGAAATCATCAGAAATCAAAACATGCCATAAAACATCTACTTACTGAAGAGCTATACGTAACGGATAATAGATGGGTGTGTTACAAGTCAGTGAACTGAGATCATAAAGCAGCACATGTAACTCTTGCATGACTGGGAAGTTACCATCACTCAGTTTCAAAGACCCAAGCAGGTGGTTGAGACCCACCGTGTCAGTGGGGAAGCCGCATGATCCCTGCAACCACGTGCTGTGGCTCTCTAGCAAGCTTGGGGGTTGACAGTGCTGATCCTCACAGTGGCCGGCCTGCCGGTCACCTTCCAGAGACCCAGGGCTGGCTGCCCTACGACTCATAGCACCTCTAAGAGCTGACTTTAGTGCCAGCCACGTGCACTTCTAATTACTGACCTTTGTTTTTCCAGAGGGGACTTTCTAGAGACACTGACAGCCTGATTTCTCTTTCTTCTCTCTCTCTCCCTCCTCCTCTTGCCTCTCCCTTCAGTCGGCAGTACCTCTTCCTCACCAGCACTGTTAGGAATCAGAGACCCTCGCTCTGAATACGATAGGACCCAGCCACCTATGCAGTATTACAGTAGCCAAGGGGATGCCACACATAGAGGCCTGTACCCTGGTAAGACGCCAGTCGGGTGTGTGATAGAGTATCTCGAAAAGCCGCGTGTCCCCAGGCACTTGGCCGGTGGCCTGGGAGGTAACCTCTGCCTGCAATGAGATGGTCCCCCAGCAGCAAACCATGGTCCAGTCTCTCCGTCTCCTGCTTCAGGGCCTTTTCCACTTGTTTTAAGTAAAAACAAGTGAGGGTAGTGGTCTGGTGACCGCACATAAAATGAGCACTGTATCCAAACGAGAAAGCATTTCCGACTCCCCTGCAGCGCAGGCCCTTTGTCCTGCCCCCCTCCCCACTCCCCTGTGTGTTCCAGAACCCTGAGCTCTGTGACACTTGGCAGGCCCACATCTCCTGGACTGACTCATAAATTCAAACCTGCGGATGGAGATTAATTCCATTTACATTTTTGTGGAAAAGAGTTTGAATGAATAACAAAATATATAACGGGATTCTCCTCAGAGTGATTATTTTTTAAGAATAACAAAAATGATGTTGCCCAGTATTAATATTTTTATGTCCTATTCAGAAAGCCCTGCATATAATTTACTTAAAGAAGGCCAACCTGAAGGGTTACCAAGGTTTCCTATTGTCTCCATTCTCAACTATGTTGCAAATTAGTACTCTACAGGTTTCAAATGAAGCAGTGTGAGCTAACAAAAAAGGGGGGGGGGAACCCTCCTTTCTCAACAACAACAAAAAAAACTGTTTCTTAAAAAGAAAGAAATAAAAACTGGTGGCAATTTAACAACTGCTGGGGGAGCAGTCTCAGTTGTGCTGTTGTCTTTAAGATTGTGATTTCACAGGACTGTTTACTAATCAACTACTGTTACTATGGCAATTAATAGCTCAGAAAATTGCAGATGCTACATTTCAAACACCAAGCTCTTTGCAGAGGAAATGCACATACCAACTGAAGTGCATTGTTGCTTCAGGTTTGCGGCAGCCTGCTTTATTTTAAAGATCGCCTCTTTAGCATGCACGCCCTTCTGTATCTTCTTTGCTTGCTTCAATAAACTAATTTGCCTCAAATATGTTTCATTTTCCTCATTAAAAAAAATAAAAATCTTTGCTAGCCTTAACAGTACTTGAAAGGTAACCAATGACATCATTGGGAGTCTACTGTGGACTCGTGAAGACAGCTATCTGATTACCAGGTTCTTTTTGTTTTGAAACATACTTAAATATGGTGGACACAAGAATGTGCCCCCAGGTGGCCGGCCTGTTAGAACACACCTGTGCCTGCTCCTTCCAGGACCTGGGATTTTGAATCAACGCTGCTCTGAGGGCATGGAGCTTGTTCCACTGTGTTTCCCTACCCCCTCATCTGACCCAGTTCTCTAGCTCAGAGCCCTGGAAAAGCCGTGTTCCTTGGCGCAGGGAGCAAGTCTGCTCTTCAGAGCCAGCCAGGGAAATCTTCACAGGTGGGAAGAGCTCAACCAGAGGTTGAGAAGGAGAGCTCAACCAGAGGTTGAGAAGGAACCCTTTTTGGATGAGCTATGCATTGGCATTGCTTTTTGGTGAAACACACAGCCTCTCTTTGCCGTATTCATTAGCCCCTAAGAACCCTGGGTAAGCAGCAAGCAGGCTTGATCCAGGGCACCCAGGCTGCTGACTGGTCCGGGGCTGTGCTGGCACCGGGGAAGGCAGGGCCTGTCGGGGACGCCACCAGCCCTAGAGCAGGGAGTCCACACAACCTAATGGAACAGAGTAATGAGCACTAGTTTTTAATTTCGTAAAATATTTTCTTACAGGCTCCAGCAAACCTTCACCAATTTACATCAGTTCCTATTCCTCACCAGCAAGAGAACAAAATAGACGGCTACAGGTGAATTTGCAATATCATTTTTACAGAAGGCCGATTAGCAGGGATCAACACAGTAAGGGGTCCGCGCCGGTTGACTTACCTGAGCTGGGCCCACCCGGCAGGGGCCGAGGAGCTTTCCCGGGGGAATCTCTGCTCCTCGGAAGCTCATCCGTGGTTTAAGCAAATCACTTCCACAATAGCCTTACGTCCTTGCATATCCGAACTGGTGCCACCATGCCACTGATGGCAACCAGCTGAGAAGTCTTTAACTCCTATTCTTTGCCCAACAGTTTCTTTTCCCCACTCTTATTTTTTTTTTTTCCTGTTAATCTCTAAAATCTCTTCCATCCTGTGGGTGCGGAAAGGTTGGTAAGCACACTTCATTCTCTCTTCTCATTGTTCTTTTTTGTACATACACCTCTTTCTCCATCTTCATGACTCCCTCCCATCCAAGCCTCCGTGGTTTGAAAACACCTGAGTCCACAGCCAGATCTCTATTAGGCTCAGAGGTCAGAGTGGATCCAGCCCTGCAGGGGTGAATTCCACTCTCCGTCACAATAGGGACTAGTGATTGTAACGTTCAATCTCTGCGTTCATGAGGGGCCTTGAAGTTCATTTTGGTCCTTCCTGATGCCATGTCCACCTGGGCCATCTGATCTCTCCTCTTACCTTCCATTAACACATGAGCAACTGGGGGTTTCCCAAACAAGCCTGTATCCTGCTCTGCAGAAAAGGATGCTCTTAGACCTCCCTTCACATCATCTTTTCTCTGTAGATGGAAGAAGAACCTCTCAAGTTACTCATAATCTTCTTTAGCCAGGAGAAATAGCCTCAGAATCGTAACTCTAATTTAAAAGCAAGTTTAGCTCTGAAATCCTTATAATGTTAGAATGCGTTTAGTTCCAGAACATGGTGTTGATACCTATGTGATAAATATGTTACATCTTACTAAGAGGGGGATTTGGGCATGATCGGGGGAAAGACAGACATTAGAACCATTACAGTTTTTCTCCAAACATATTTGAAGAAATTAATGTGAGGTCAGAGATAAGACAACACAAAAGAAAATGAGGGCAGGGGTAGATGATGCCCACCTGTGTCTCACCTTGCTTCCTTACAGATGGAGTTATTATTAGCCCCAGCTTGGGGAGGTCTTTTCCTTTAGAATTGTATATGCTCACGTATCTCTTCTAATTTTGCTACTCTCCTGCCCAGAGACTGCCTTCTTCCTTTAAAAGCACAGCCAGCAGGGTTTCCAAAGTGTGACTGTTCACCAAACTACATATTTCTTTTTTTTTTTTTTTTTATAAACATCTTTACATGTTTCTTTTAAAACTGAGGGATGGACTCAATCTTCATCTCTGAGGTAAATGTTTTAAAAGATGGTTGTGCAATTACACAACAATCCAAAGCCCAAAAATCCAACCTTTAGCTAATGTGCTAATGGTTTCCCTGTGTCAAAGCAAAAATCAAGTCTATCCTTTCATTGGGCACGCCCAGGTCACAGGCTCCTCCACAGCAGAGCACGGAACTCGGCCTCTAGTAAGGAGGGAGGTATCTTGGGTTCTCCCAAGGCGCTGACTTCTAGAGGCCATAGGAAAGGACTTGAGCAAACTGCCGGCCTGCCTGTAAACATAGTGTAAAATCCCTACGGTCCACTAGTGAACATACAGTATGCACCAGAAACAACTTTCAACCATAAATTCACAAACACTGAAAATTGCTTTAAAAATATGAAGCAGGAAGCCCACGTTAATTTTCCCTAAACATGTACTTCCAAAAATTGCCTTGATTTATTTGCTTTTTCATTTTGTCAACAGCATCAACAGCTGTATTATAGTCAAGATGACTCCAACAGAAAGAACTTTGATGCATACAGATTGTATTTGCAGTCTCCTCATAGCTATGAAGATCCTTATTTTGATGACCGAGTTCACTTTCCAGCTTCTACTGATTATTCAACACAGTATGGACTGAAATCGACCACAAATTATGTAGACTTTTATTCCACTAAACGACCTTCTTACAGATCAGAACAGTACCCAGGGTCCCCAGACTCGTGGGTGTAGCATCAATGCTTGGGAGAGGAACTCTTTCTTTCTAACCTTGTTTGGATTGAGATGAGAAGTCCGTCTTGCTGATATTTGCTGATGAAATGTGAAAGTGACATGGAAGGAATGAGTGAAGAGAATTTTTTTTTTCTTTTTTGAGGAATTATCAGGGAAGTGAGGCAACCTTTGGGAGGGAGGACTTTCTAAGCTCTACTTAGGCATTAGATCTAATTACCTGTAGATTCTATAGTCTGGTGAAGGTGTGGGCGATGTGATGAGAGGTTTGTGAAATGGGTGAAATGAGATGGGGGATGTGTAGGTCAAATCAAATTAAAGATGATTTTTTTAATGTGAATAAGTTATGTTCTGATAGTTTGTACAGAAAAAAATAATAAAATGGATGCCCTTCATGTTTTATTGCTATTACTAAATGTCAAGATTGTATGCTATTGTGTCTTGTAAATTTCTTTTGTTGGTGTAAATATGGAAATGCCACATTGGTTAAGTGCCATCATTTGTAACGCAGTGTGTCATTTGAAAAGAGATTTGAAGAAACTGACAGCTTAAAAAACAAACGGGAAACCCAAGGAATTGTTAGCAGTTAAAAACAAACTACAACATCCTTTGTTTTCAAAATGAATAGTGTACCTTTGAAGCACAAAGTCCAGTCTGGTATAGAAGCGCCATGCCCATTCCCTTGCCTCTTTCATAGGACACTTCACTGCCATTTTCTATGCACATGAAAGAAAAATAAATGTGGAAATTTCATCCTTGGAAATTTGTTCCCTGTTCTATTTTTTTTTTTTTTTTTTTTTTTTCTGTGTATGACACGGAAAAGCAGATTGATAAATGCGAATCTCATTGCATCATGTAGGAAACAGCTTAAATATATCGAACTATTTTGGACTTTTCCTAGTTCTGTACAGTTAATACACTTTGTGAGATGGACTATACCAAAGAATGAAGCTGTGAACTTTCCTCCTCTTTACCTATCTTAGTGTTTTTATTTCTTGGGTTCTGTTTTGAATCTAATGCCCATTACCGTTTTATCATGTTTTTTTTCCAGACTGCTGTATATTTAACACCACTTTTCAACGAAGAGAAATTACATCTGGCAGCCTGGCCCTAACTAAATTGACAGACTCCTTTGGGCATCATTTTAAGAACTCCACAACTACATAAGAACAGTGGTCGGGCATTTATTGGTTGGCACCAACGTAATAGACCAAAACAAATTCTAAATTATTTTGCTGAGTGATTCCATGAGACAGAATAATTCCTGGCTTAGAGACAGGGTGGGGAGGCCCCAACCTGCATGGCCGGCAGGGGTCTTAATGCCAAACTGCATCACTTCTGAGCTTTTCTCCATCCTTGGAGACAACAAGGGCATCAGCCCCGGGAGGCCCAAAGTCTGAGGCCTTCCCAAGTCTGGGGTTTCCACCCTGCATCTTACATGGGAAACAACCCATATGGCAAATCAAACCCAGAGGTGTTGACTCAGCTCAGTGTATCCTGCATATGTGACACAAACCCTAGACGAAAACGTGTGTGCTTATATTTGTGAGCACACAGAAAGAGTCCCAAGGGAAAAGTGCTTTCCCTTGCTGAGTGGACTGCGACCCAAGATTAGGCTCCAAAGTGAAATGGAAGTACAAGTATAAGCAGGAAGATTCCCGAAGTCTGCCAATGGGGAGCCTTCCTGACATGCAGGCTCTCTGAAATGACACTTGAGCCAGTTCCCACAGACTGCCCAGCTGCCTCCGCCTCGCATGCCCTGGAAACAGCCCTCTTTAGACAGCAGAGGCTGCCAGACTTCCCCCAAGGAACTGGCATCAGGACTTTGGAGATGTCTAGTATCCGTTTGAGTTTTGAATCACTGACTTCCCTGAACCTGATTGATTTTTGTGCATCTGGGTTAAAGGCCCTCCCCCAGGGAGTCAGGAATACAAGGGAATCTGCAGCCGGCCTGAGCTAATTGACAGTGACTGTTGCTTTTAGGGACCTCATTAGCCTTTGGGGTAACTTAGCGGACCCAGGTTCCCCATCTGACAGAGCATTTCAAAAGCTGACCCAAATTTAGATTGCAAAGAACTCACTTGGGCCTCCAGCCAGACCTTGTATTGGGGCCAGAAAGAAGCCTGTGGGTGACGACTGGGCAGAAAATCAGATGCCGTCTCAGGCTCCTCCCTTATAACCAGAGAAAAGAACCTGCAGACGGAGCCTGAAAGACACAAAACTGCATGATGGATCGAAGAGCTGAGCCCACTCCCGCTCCAAGGCATAGGCATGAAACTCGACTAAAACAAAGTTGACTTTCTGCTGCTGCCCGGAAATGTGACCCAGTAGAATGCAGAATTCAGCTCTCGAGAAGAGGGCTGCGCTTCCACTCAGCCAGGATCGACATACTTCCACCCAATCCTGGAGAGTCAAGGCTGAACTGAGCCGATGTTGGTCAGCTAGACCAGGTTGCACACTGACCGCACATCAGAACCACCTGGGCAGCTTTCATAGATAGGAGGGTCCCACCCTGACCCATGGAAACCCCAGGAGGTGGGGTCCAGGCATCAGTGTTCTTGAGAAGCTCCCTGGCTGATGGCAATGTGCAGTCAAGGTGAGAGGCCACTTGGCCTGCGTGCCATTCCTTCCCCTCACCACCTTCCTGCCCTGTGACCTGAAAGTTTAGTGGTTGGAGTTTGGGGTGTGAAGTTTGCCTGGAAGAGAGTGATAAAGATTTGGAGTATTAAAACTGAGATCTTAAATTTTGAATGTCAGAAGTGAGGTTTTTCTTCTTGGCCAGAGTATATATCTTTTTGCCCATGCATACTTTTTAAAAAGTTATGAAAGCCCAAGGGTGTTCATGGGTGTCAGAAGTGATGACTTCAGACTTCCCTGGTGGTGCAGTGGTTAAGAATCCACCTGCCCATGCAGGGGACATGGGTTCGATCCCTGGTCTGGGAAGATCCCACATGCCGTGGAGCAGCTAAGCCCGCAAACCACAACTACTGAGCCCTCACACCACAACGCCTGAAGCCTGCGTGCCTAGAGCCCGTGATCCGCAACAAGAGAAGCCACGGCAATGAGAAGCCCACGCACCGCAACGAAGAGCAGCCCCCCTCTCCGCAACTAGAGGAAGCCCGCACACAACAACAAAGACCAAACTCAGCCAAAAATAAATAAATAAGTAAGTAAGTAAGTAAGTATTTTTTTTTAAAGAAAAGAAATGATGACCTCACATAACACTTCCAGTCATCAATCCCTGGCCAGTGTTTGGTTGTCCAACATGATTGCTGATTCTTGCAGTGAAATACCACTAGTTCACTTTATCTAGCACTAACGATGTGCTACTAGTATCACAGACATCATTTAACCCTCACAGCAAATGTATGAAACCTGTACTGATAGCCCATTTTATGGATCCTGAAGCAAACTTGGAGAGTAACTTGCTAAAGGTGACATAATGAGTGGCAAAGGCAAGGTTAGTTAGCACCACAGTCTACCTTAACTACAATGCCAGTGTTTTTAAAATTCAGCAATTTGAGTTTTCAACCGAACTATTTTCCTGAAAATCTTTCATCGATCTTAAATTTGCCGAAGGGAACTTTATCACAAAGGATAAAGGAAAAATTATCATCACTTGCCATAAATAAAAGGCAACCATAAAACGTTTGAGGGGCTGAATTTATCTAGAAAAAAGAGGCAACCATAAAAATGAACATTTAACTATTAAACATACAAATATCCATGTACCACCAAAATTCATTGTCTACCACCACTAGTGTTACATGAACCTCATTTCTGGAAATGTGGGTCCTGATCATTCTGATATATATGATGATTTAGGTTGGGCTGAGAACTCCCCTTAAAAGAACCTTGTCTATGAACACAGGCCTGTTAAAATCGGCCACTGGGCAACCCTCTCATTTTGGAGCCTCAGTAATACCTTTGGAGGAACATGTATCTAAATCCACGGGATGGTGGTTTTATTTCCATGATCAAACCAGATTATAAGGAAAAAATATTTGCAAATTTGGCCATTACTGCTCACTTAGATTTTTGAAAATTTTTTATGACAGCATTATTCATAATAGCCAAAAACTGGAAACAGCCCAAATCTCCAATAGGAGAATAGGTAAATAAATTGGAGTACACTCATAATGGAATACTAGTCAACAATAAAAAAGAATGAACCACAGATACTCATAATAACATGGGTGAATCTCAAAAACATGCTCAAAAGAAACCAGACACAAAAGAGTATACATACTGAATGATTCTATTTTAAAAAGAGGCAAAAATCATCTATGTTGATAGAAATCAGATCCATTGTTGCCTACTGAGGTACCAATACCTAAAGGGGTATTGACTAGAGCACTTTAGGAGATGATGGAAAGGCTCTATATCTTGCTTGGGGTGGCTCTTACACAGATGTATACATTTAGGAAAACTCATCAAAATGTAGACATAAGATCTTACATTTCATCACATGTAAAATTTATTCCAATAAAAAAAAATTAACACTTCAAAAATCACGAAAGAAATGAGTGATGACATTGTCTGAGACTTAGTTTTATAACCTAGAATCAAAGTTATTCTTCCTAGTCTCCCGAGTTGAGAAAAATCCAATTTATAAATTTCAAACCTTATAAAACATCTACTTACAGTGGTTTTCACACAAAAGATTTTAGCACAAAATTCTTTGCAGTTATATACACCAGTCTGCTTAAAAGCTGACAGCTTACTAAAGTTAAACAGAATTCCAGAAAATTGATATTTGAAAAGCACTGTATGGGAGAGTCCTTTTGAATGAGCCTATGACTGGACAGATTTATGTATGTGTTGACAAGAAAGTAAGTTGAAAAGTAAAACTCGGGCTTATGTTTAAACATGTTGCCGAGAGAGAGAAGTGTGTCACCCCTTTTATCTAATGATCCAAAGAGATGTGTAAACAAACACCTCACCCACCTTGGTGCTACCCAAGCTGAGGGAAAGGAGTGTGGGAAAGGAGCCCTTTCAGCAAAGTACCAGAGAGGTATTAGCACAAAAACAGGTCAGTGAAATCAGAGGTAGAGCAGCTAATAGGATTTTTTTTTTTTAACTCTACAAATGCAGGGTGGATTGAATTCGAAGAGGATCTTGCTTTAGGTCAAGGAAATCCTTGCTGGAGAGGAAGCAAACAGTCTTAATTAGTGTGCAACTGGCGAGGGGGTTGAAGAACAAAGGACGCAAAGCATGTTGGGGGATTCCATAGGGAGCTTCCATTCTGATAGACAGCTGCCCTCTTCTGACCTATCCAGGGGCTGGACCTCAGAGACCATGTGCAGCCATGAGCTGCCACCCATACAGAAAGACTTCTCAGCTGGTGCTTGTCCATTCTGCCCCGCTCTAGGAGATCCTGCCTTTTGACTCCGGCCTTACTCACCCTTATGATAGAAGTTTGCTGTTATTCATCGGTGTGGTGGCTTGACCTGGCTCGCTGTCTTTATGAATGCACTTATTCAGGACAATCTTTCAAGGCTGCAGACACAAAAAGGAAATTATTAGCAACCAAATTATGACTTGAATTGTATCTGTTTTAGTGCTTTTCCCTGTTTTTTATGTCAGCAGCTTCACTAGAAGCGGCTGGCACGTCCCCTGAGTGGCTATTCGTACCCATTGCTATTGCCTAATTCTAACTTGAAATCACCACAAAGCATTTTGTGCTGTCATAATCATTTGCATGAGCTATAACAAGCTCTTTCATTATAAAAGCCCCATCCAAAGGTTGGGGAAATTTTGA